GAAAAATGAGATGCAAAAACAAAGCCGGTGTTTGGACTCGTATCAAAGCTACAGTTCAGCTTGACTGAGCGGAGACGGTTGTAGTGGATGTCTCCCCTACAAACTAACTGCGTAGCAGCCCACCACCTGCTATCACATTCCAATGTGCCGCCTTCCCTAGCAACCAACCAGATGTTACCGTATCTTAGCAACGAAACTATTCACCGGCTACTTCTCGGGTTTTCCCACCATGACTCATAGCGGCTGCTGCGGGGTATATAAGCTCTGTCTCTCCCTTGAGATTCAGTCTGACCAATCTTCTTGAACAAGCAACACCTCCTCCTCTGCCGCTGCCTGGCGACCCTCGCCTCTCCTCCGCCTGCCTGGCGGTCCTCGCTCCCGCCAGCGAGCATGTCCTTCTCTGAGCTTCCTCACCAACCAACTCTCATTCTGCCCATTGTCCTGAACAAGCAACATCTCCTCCAGCAAGCTCCTAGCTGTCCAGCATTCATTCAATCAGGAGGCCAGCAACAGGCAACATCTTCTCTAACGAAGCTCCTGCACATCTACCTCCTTCAACAAGCTACTCACCGCACGTCTCTACTAAGCAGCCCCTCACCACACAGCATCTCCAGCACCAGACTGTCTATCATATAACTTATATATATATATATTATACAAGAAAACCACATTAGAGTTTCCTTCCATCCTGAGTGCTAGACAACATTAATCTCTCGATACCCCTACACGGTGTTACCGTAGCGATGAGCTTCCCAATTTATTCTAAGACCTTCCGGAATAACTACAGATATACTGTATATGGTGGTCGGTCAATCCAACCCATGTCATCTGAACTCCCATTGCTCTCATCCCCCTTTCAACTCAACCCCTGTCAACCTCGCCCCTGGTCAACCTAACTCCTGTCTCTCAACTCCCTGCCAATCCAACCCCTGTCAACTTAAACCCTTATTTTTCAAACCCTGTTCGTCGACTGTCAGAATAAAAATACTAAAATTCAGAACTTAGACCAAGAAACAAATATGTAACTGTGGTTAACCATCCTGCTGCAAAAGTTGCAAACTGTGAAAATGACCCGAAGAAACTTTGGTAGTTGAGTTGACAGAGGCGGAGTTGAAATGGAACTGATATTTATATGTATAGAAACCTGATCATTGATGTCCCCGTTAATTTGTCAAACCTTCAGAATTTGGAAGTTGAGTTTCTGGAGATGAAATTCAATTCATCTGCCCAAGATGGTTTAAAAATCTAACCATTGTAAAAATTTTGGTGAAATATTTGCTTGTTTACCTAAAACTTAAGTCATTGTGAGCGAATGTTCCTTTCTTTCACCTCTCTTTGTGAGACAGACTTTTCAACGCTTGTTACTGTGAAGACTAAGTATCAAAACAGATTGAAAGTTAAGATTGACATGCCGTGTACTTTCTTCGACTTCAATATTTGGAGAAGAAGCAGTGCAAACCCTCTCATTAATTCCAGATGAAATACAATTGAACTTCTAGAAACACTACCTTTATACTGAGTTTGTTTATTGGTATCTAGAAAGACGATAAAGTTGATGAAACTGGAACTTGAAAAAATGTGTTCTTAGGCCTTTTGGGGAACAGGAGGGGGTGGGGGGGGGGGGCGCCATGTATTAAAAGTTGCCCATAAGAGGGTGCAGCTCCAAAAAGGCTAACAACCACTGGATTAGTGTAATCACTAACTTTTGCTACACACTTATACACCATAGCCTTTGAAGCGTAGTAATAACATTATACCACCAACGTCGCCATGTGGAGTGTGAGAGATGCCAATAAATAAACAAACTAATATACGGTACTCACAGATCACGGATTATATTCATGTAAAATGTCAGGGTTGCCAAAGAGTTAAACAGACCGGTCTTGTGAATCTGTTCACAGGATACATAAAGTCCAAATAATTGCCATTAAGTTTATTCTATATATATACATACATTAATACCTATCTTGCTACATAAAAGACTATCTAATTTATCTATGTTTGCATTTAAATGTAAATCAATAAAATATATACAGTTTGATTATTAAAGATATAACCCTTGTACGCACACGCACACCTGAAGACTCACACACACACACACACACACACATGTAGACACACCCTGGCACACACATGAGAAATTACAAATATGCCTTCAAAAACACACACACACACACACACACACACACACACACACACACACATGTTACAAATATGCCTTAAAAAACACATGAAAAATACACACACACACACACACACACATGTAGACACCCACACACATGAGAAATTACAAATATGTTTCAAAAACTTTGAAAATACACACATACACACACGCACACACACACACAAGACACCCTAACACACATGAAATTAAAATATGCCTTCAAAAACACATGAAAACACACACACACACACACACACACACACATGTAGACACCCTAGCACACACATGAGAAATTACAAATATGTTCAAAAACTTTTGAAAATACACACATACATACACGCACACACACACATGTAGACACCCTAGAACACACATGAGAAATTACAAATATGCCTTCAAAAACACATGAAAACACACACACACACACACACACACACACACATGTAGACACCCCAGCACACACATGAGAAATTACAAATATGTCTTCAAAAACTTTTGAAAATACACACACACACACACACACACACACACATGTAGACACCCTAGAACACACATGAGAAATTACAAATATGCCTTCAAAAACACATGAAAACACACACACACGCGCACGCGCGCATTAAATCGTACACAAGAAAAACAGAGTCAGCCACGCATCGCCATACAAGGAAGAAGTTAAGTAGACACAAGTGAAGGAGGAAACCAGAGACACACGAGGGTGAGGCAGTTAGAGAGACAATCAGAGAAGAAGAGACTTAGGTATAAGAATTTTGTTTAATATATTGTGTTCATTTTCATGTGTTTATGTTGTGAGGGAGGGAAGGGGAGGGGAAGGAAGAAGGGAGGGAATTGGGGTGGAGAGAAGGAGGGGATCTTTTTTTTTTTTTTATCCTCTTCGCCACTGATCGGCTCGTTAGCTGCTTCGGCGTTCGGTTACGTCTCTGGGCATGTACTGGCTCCAGAATATATCTGTACCTGCTCCAGTGTTGGTAAAGTCTGGTCTTGAAAGAACTCACACTCGGTGCCGTCACAACACTCTGGCTGATTGTTCCAAGAGTTCACAATTTTCATTCCGAAAAAGATTGTCTTCGCTGTTTTCTGGACTTGTGGCATCTTCAACCTTGAACTGTGACCCCTTGTGGGGCGGGTGTCCGCCAGCTCCAGGTATGGACACTCGACAAAGTAGTGCCCTCTGAGATGTTTATAAACTTCAGTTAGGTCGTCCCTTACTTGTCTATAGTATAAGCTAGGCAGTTGCAGGCGTTTTGATATCTCTGGGTAACTAAGGTGCCGTAGTGCAGGTACCAGTCTGGTGGCCCTCCTTTGGACAATTTCAATCAACTGATAGTCTCTAGCATATCTCGGGGACCAGGCTACAACACTCCCCCTAATCCCGTACCCTTCCAGTTTAATTCTCAGCCTCTCATGGTGGAGTGCGTTATCGAAAGCCTTGGCAAATTCTAGGTATATATTGTCGATATTACCACCCTGTTCCAGAATATGGGTCCAAACAATCAGTACCTTGAGTAATTGTGTCAAGCTCTCTAGTTCTCTACACACTACGCTGGTGAGGCTCACTGGTCTATAAATGTTCGTGGAGTGACGATCGCCGTTGTTGAAAATAGGACTCACATAAGCCATTTTCCAGTCACTGGGAATCATTTGCTCATCCAGGCATTTACAGAACAGTTTATTAATGGAGGAGGAAAGGAGAGTAGGAAATATGATGGGGAGGAGGGAGGGTAGAAAAGGGGAGGAGCTGTGGAGAGGAGGAAATGTCCGTGAAACTCTATTATATATATTATATATATACTGTATATATATATATATATATATATATATATATATATATATATATATATATATATATATATATATATATATATATATATATATATATATATATATATATATATATATATATATATATATATTTTTTTTTTTTTTTTTTTTCCATGTAGATCCACAATGAAAACGTGGATAAGATAAATCTTGATAAAATCACACGGGAAAAGGATGTTGCCTCTGAAGATGTCTTGAATAAAGACGAAAGCTAAGGTGCTCCGTTGTTTCCCTTTTCCCGTGTGATTTATCAAGATATATATATATATATATATATATATATATATATATATATATATATATATATATATATATATATATATATATATATATATATATATATATATATATATAAGGTGAACCTGCGTCAAACTGATAAATACAACTTTAATAAAATTGTCCCTTAAAGTAGGCCTACACTATTTTGCTTCTGTGTTCAATAATTTATCGCACACAAACAAACATTTCTTTAAATGTCACTAACTTCATCATATTTCATTATTTTAACTATATTTTCCACCCATATTTCAACATTATTTTATTCAGTATATTTCAATCAGTTAGAAGACTATTAACATTATTCCCATAACGTTAATAACTATGATAACTTAACATGGTAGATCACTCGTCGGTGGTGGAACGCCAGACTCGAGGGCGTTGAGTCAAAACAAGGCATTGTTAACAGTAGGGGTGGGGATATCGGGGAGGTTACTGGATACTGCTGCTAATAACTTTCAGAACTAGGAACACTGTGTGAATATATTAATAACAAACTTCAACAAAAATTTATAGGTCACATGAAGATTCGCCCCACAGATTGTGGTTAATCACCCTAACCTAACCTAACCTAACCTAAACTAACCTAATTAACGTAATCTAACCTAATCTAATCAAACGGTAACCTAACCTAACGCAAACTTAACTTAATCTAACCTAATCTAATCAAACGGTAACCTAACCTGACCTCGCACTAATGCTAACCTCACCTCACCTCACCACGTAAGGTTTAGGTGTTTAATCATCCGATGAAATAAATTTAGGAGGAAGGGGAGGGGGGGGGGCAATGTTCATGTAATCCCTTCGAGACTTACGTTGGATGCAGTCAGTTATGTTAGTGAGGGTCCAGCTGCCTCCTACACACTCGGTGACAATGTTGGTGATGTTGTCAGGGAAGGCGCTGAACTCCCTACACCAGTACCCGACCACCAGGCCCTCCACCCCCAACCCTGTGTAGTTGTTGGACAGGAACCCCGTTGCTACTGGAGGCGCTGAGGAACACACTGTAGGAGAGTTGAGAGAGAGAAATCGACAGAAAAGGACAGAAATAAGTGTGATGGAGAGACAGGGTGGTCGTGTAGGATAGGGCATGTATCTGAGAGGATGGATAGGGTTTTGTCAGGGGAGAATACCAAGCCAGCAGTGTCTTAGTGTAGGAGGCAACGACATAGGAAAGGTTAGGAGTGAACAACTTTTCAGGAGGTATAGGGAGGCGTTAGGGAAGGTTAGAGATAGAGAAGGGATCCCGATAGTATGTGGTGTCTTGCCTAGAAGAGGGGTTGGCGGTGAGTGGCTGCCCAGGGCAATTGCTATAAATTTCCGACTGGAAAAACATTGTGCAAGCAATGGATGGGCATTCATTGATAACTGGCGACCGTTCTATGGCAACGACTACCCGTACAGTCGTGACGGGGTACACTTGTCTCGCGTGAGGGTAAAGACGTTGTCTGCATCCCTGGAGCGTGAAATTGTCACACCAAAGGGGGGGGGGGGTCGCCAGTAGAGAGAGGTCACGGAAAGTGGGAGTAAAAAACAAGCAGGTCCTGGGGAGTAAAATTGGTCACTTAGGACAAGGGGTAAAACAGGACCAGGGAGGGATAGGTTTAAATGTATACTATACAAACAGTAGGAGCGTTAGAAATAAAATAGACTTGCTGAGAGCGGTTGTATGTGCCGAGAATGTAGACGTCATAGCAATCACCGAGACTTGGATGAATCTGGCGAGCAGGAATTTTTTATCAGAGTATCAAGAAGGGTACAACCTTTTTCACAAGGACAAGAAAGGTAGGAAGGAGGGAGGGGTCGCCCTCTTCGTCAGGAATACATTAAAATGTTATATTAATAATACAATAAATGGGAAATAAGAACCGAGTCTGCATGGGTAGAAATTGCAGAAGGAAGAGAACAACGAATTATGGGAGTAATTTACAGGCCCCCCAAGTCTAGGGAAAGAAGCAGTTCAGCCCATATGGCAAGAAATCAGTAGGGCAGCAAGATACAACAACCTCTTCATTATGGGGGATTTCAACTTCAGGAATATTGACTGGGACAACATTATAGGTGACTATGAATCTGAAGACTTCCTAGACGCAGTACAGGACAATATTTTTATAACAACTAATTACAGAACCGACTAGAGGTAACAATATATTAGACCTAATATTAACAAATAAAGAAAATATTATCAGAGATATCACAATAGGGAAAAAACTAGGAAACAGTGATCACGGAAAAATCAGGTTTACCCTAAATTGGAAAACGAAAATAATGACAATATGGTCAGAGTTCCAGACTTTCGACCAGAGGATTTTGAGGGGTTAAGAAGGTACCTAGGTGGTGGTCACCTGGGAACGGTCAGGTCACTGTCGACTCAACAATTGATGATGACTATACTAAATTCACTAGTATACTACATAAAGCACAGGAACAAAATATACCATACAGAAAAATTAGGTCAAATAAGAATGAGCCAAGGTGGATGACCAAAAGATTTAAACATGACATATGAATAAAGAAAGAATTTAAAAGAAATTAAAGGGAGGGGAGGAGCATCTCAGATATAGGTTTAATGAACTATCAAGGAATGTTAAGAAAAATGTAAGGAAGGCAAAGAGGGACTACGAAATCAGGAAAGCAAGAGAATCCAGGGCGAATCCCAAGGGATTTTTCCAGATAATAGGACAAAGGACAAGGACAAAGTGGGGTCTTTAAAGTCAGAGAGAGGGGAAGTGATCGATGATAGTGAGAAAAGAAGCAAAGCATTAAACAGCTACTTCGTATCAGTTTTCACAGAAGAAATTCACGAGGAAACGCCAGAGGTGGAACTGATATTTAGGGGAAAGGAAGAAGAGAAACTAAAGGATATCACTATTAGAAAAGACGATGTTCTGAAGAAGATAAATAAATTATAGAAGACAAATCCCCAGGGTCGGATGAAATTTTCCATTCGAGTTTTGAAAGAGTGTAAGGAACAGATTAGCAGACCCCTTGTAAATTTATTTTCTAAATCATTGGACACGGGAGTTGTGCCAGACTCGTGGAAACAGGCAAATGTAGTACCTATATTAAAAAAGGGAGACAGAGCATCAGCATCAAATTACCGGCCGATTAGTATGACGTCAGTAGTGGGGAAATTTCTTGAATCAATTATAGCAATAGCATCCAAGCGCATTTAGAGAAAAACAAATTAATCTAAGAATCTCAACATGGATTTACAAAGGGAAAATCTTGTCTAACAAATCTGCTGACTTTTTTAGGAAAGTCTCTGAGGTAGTTGATAATGACGAAAATTACGAGGTTATTTACTTAGACTTCAGCAAATCATTTGACACAGTACCGCATCAGAGGCTTCTGAGAAAAGTTACCGCTCATGGTATCGAGGGGAAAGTTTTAAATTGGATAAAATCATTGCTCACCGATAGAACACACAGGGTCAGCGTAGATGGTCCTCAATTGGAGTGGGGTTCCCCAGGGGTCAGTACTGGACCCACTCTTGTTCATAATCTACATAAACGATCTAGATACTGGGATCAGCAGTGACATAAGCAAGTTTGAGGATGACACCAAAATGGGGCGGCAGATTAATTCAGGGCAGGATGGAAATGCACTACAGGAGGATTTAAATAAACTGCAGGAGAGGTCAGAAAAAATGGCAAATGAAATTCAACACCAGCAAGTGCAGCGTACTTAATATTGGAAGAACAAATACTTTCAATGTATACAGCCTTTACAACATCAACCTAGAGAAGTCGACGTGTGAAAGACACTTAGGGGTACTTATAAGCCCGGACCTTCGGCCTAGAAAACAGTGCGTTAATGTTCGAAATAGGCAAACAGAGTATTAGGTTTTATATCTAGAAGTGTAAGTAATAAGAGAACAGAGTTCATTTTGCAATTATATCTTGCGCTAGTCAGGCCGCACCTCGATTATGCTTTTGAATTCTGGTGCCCTTTTTATAGAATGGATATCAATTCACTGGAGTCGGTGCAGCGAAGAAAGACGAAAATGATTCCGGGACTTAGAAACTTTCCATATCAAGATAGATTAAAGAAACTTAACTTGCATTCTCTAGAAAGACAAAGAGTGTGGGGAGATATGATAGAAGTATTTAAGTGGGTGAAATGAATCATAAAGGAGATATAGATAATGTTCTTATAATATCCGAGCAGGATAGGACTCGTAGCAACTGATTTAAGTTGGATAAGTTTAGGTTTAGGAGGGAGATAGGAAGAAACTGGTTTACAAATAGGGTGGTAGACGAGTGGAGCAATTTTTACAACTTTGTAGTAAGTGCTGGGACGCTGTAAAGTTTTAAAAGGAGGCTAGATAGATTTATGGACGATAGAGGGTGGCTGTAATTCTCGACAGGAGCTGCCATGCACAGGCCAACCGGCCTTTTGCAGACTCCTTATTTTATTATGTTCTTATGTCAGATTACCATAATTTATCCAAAGCACTTTACAATAGTAGTGGAAGTTTTAAAGACAAATATTGTACCTTATAAAAATATAAACTTACATCTTTGTAATGAGATCATAGTACTTATAGTGCAGTATATAAGAAAGAATTACGTATGAATAGAAGAGATGAATGAAAAAAGCGTAAAAATAAGATTTTCACTAAGTTGAACAAGACTATTATTGGCGATACATTTAAAATAGCTAGTGTCAAGACTGAGAAGTGTGTGTGTGTGTGTGTGTGTGTGTGTGTGTGTGTGTGTGTGTGTGTGTGTGTGTGTGTGTGTGTGTGTGTGTGTGTAAACAACATGGTTTGAGTCACCTACCACTGAGACAGACGAGGTCCAAGGATGACCAGGTGGTGCCGTTGTAGGTGAGGGTCACTTGAGTCTCGCCGTCTGGAGACATGGTGTTGTTAGGGCAGTGGTAAGTCAACTCCATCCCTTCCCAGAAAGGCCCTGTCAGGCTGGTGGAGCCCGTGGTGTTTGTGGAGCCATTTGAGCCTCCCGTAGTGCCCGCCCAGGATACAGTGAAAGTCATACCCGGAAGTAGTGACGGGGGAGGTATTGCTTCTGTGTAGCAGAAAAAGGAAACGTTCACAACTTGGTAAGTCTTTTACACAAACATTACACGATAAATTCACCAATATCTCAAAAACACGATTGTGTGTGTGTGTGTTTCAATACATGTGCGTTTGTGTAATTACGTGAGTGTATTAGTGTGTTCATAATTATGCGTGTGTATATATGTTTATATGTCTTTATGCACGTGTGTGTGTGTGTGTGTGTGTGTGTATTAATATGTGTTTTTTATGCATATATGTGTGTCTGTATATCAACCTGTAATGTGCACAGATTGGTTGGTTGTTTGGGGAAAATATCTTTCGTTGCAGCCTGTGACTATTTGACATGTACAGTCACCCAAAAAAGACCTATCGCCTCTCACCCTGAACCATGAAACCCGAGATTCAGACTCTTGAATCCGAAGCATTTATGGACAGAATATATTATCATTGTCTACTGCTTCGGGTTCACGAGTCTACATCTCGGGGTTCGTGGTTCAGGATGAGAGGCGACAGGACTTTTTTGGGTGACTGTACACTCATTAAAAAAAATTCTACATCCTTGGCTCTGAAACCATCCACAACGATCACTGCGACAGAAGCCATGATGAATGTTATCGGGTTTCTTGATCCAGTGTGTCATATTGTATAACCCCGTAACGGTGCACAATTATCTTTTTAGTGAGTATACAAAGGTAAAAAAATGTAAAAATTTGCACCTCTGGGTGTCGGGTTCGTACCCGGGTCACCACGGTTTGTAGTCAGGCAGCATATCCATTGGGCTACGGTGTGCTGGGAATCTGATTAAAACCTGTTTGGGAGCCGGGTGTGGACTGACTACCCTAACCCATCATAGTCCAGAGGATAAGAACAAAATCATGCACCTTTTGATGCAAGTATGAGACTTGGTTACAGTTATTATGACCCACAAAGGTTAATTTGAAGATTGTACCACAATCTGGATTGAGGTGTGGACAGTGGTGGCGGCCATTTTTCAAAATGGCTGCTTTACCCAAATGTATTCGGCAATATCTCGCTTAATATTTGAGCTACAGACCTACTTTTGGTGTTAATACCCAGGTTTTTAAGGTCAAGAAATACAATAAAGCCAAAAAATTTCATATAGATGGTGCCAGTCATATGGTTTAACAGGATGGCCGCCAATCGTTTAAATGATTAACCAATTATTCTTTCAGTACATAATTGGAGCAGAAACGTGTTGCAAATAACCGTTGTTGGTATCAGTGTAAAGTAACTGACCAATGACAATATAACATATAATATACCAGTATGTTGTTAATCACTGCTGTTATGTCATGTGCATTGTTTTCCTCATTTTTCAGGTAGTTACTGATCAGTTAAAAGAAGATGGACGGGCGACTGTAATTTGTGAGGGTGAAGTGACACTTGTTCTGCCATCTAACATTGATTGGAACAAATGTATCTTTTGTGAAGAGGAGAAGAACTTGTCATTCCCAGCTGACTATGCCGGTAGATTTGATGGAAAGGGATATAAAACACTAGCAAAAAACCTTGTGGAACTCCACAAGTTGGGTCAATTGCCATCCAGAGTGGAACTCAATCGGTTTGACGAAGGTGATGGTCTCGAAGCAACATTCATGCGAAGACTTACAAAGTTCCATAGACTCTGAGCTACAAAGTTCAATGAAAAGAACCTCAAACGGGTGTCAAATCGCAAAAGCAGCAAAGCTTCAGAAGTACCAGAGAAATTCACCTGTACAAAAATGTCAGTCAGGTTATGATGATACCTGTCATTTCTCTGAACAACCTGCAACAAGAGGCAAACCGTTATGCAATGCTTCCTAATTGAAAGTTGATGCACACATGAAACAATGTGCACAGAACCAACAAGATGAAAGGATAATGAGAGAGCTGTGTCAGTGGGATGTTATAGCTCTTGGGGTTTGGGCCAAATGCAAGAACTTCCGTGGTGTACATCATGCTGTGGTAGCCCCATGGTCAGTTTGCAAGAAGTACTCTGGGCTGAAAAAAAAAATATGTACGATTCGTTATTGGAACTTGGGAGATTTCCGTGGTACTCTCACCCCCGCCCTATGATCACTACGATGGAACTATATTTTGAAACCAAAAGAAAAGAACGAGAATTGGGTGCACGTAAATTGTAGACATCTGCATAGGAATAATATTTTTTATAAGATATCCTCCATATAGAACAGCACATGAAGAACATTGTTCTTTTTAAAATAATTCCATGTTTATGTAGGAACATCCGCCAGCCTCTACTTGCCTCATAGCCGCTTATATCCTCCAAATTCTCCTAACCATCATTAAAGGTAAGCCTTTAAGATAACTAATCCAAATAATTTATGCGTAGGAATGTATGGAAATCAAATAAAGCTAAAAAAAAGTCGTAAATGGTCTATTTGAAGAGTGGAGAGAAATGCTCCGCCTGGGATGGTGAATGACGTCCCTTATCAGAAATAATATCGACCCAATTTTCGTAATGAACGCAATTAATAATCGTCCAACACTACCAAAATAAATAATGCATTAGTACGAATACTTAGTAGCCTAAATTTCATATTTTAATAAGTCCAAATATGCCAGGTAACCAGTGCCAGGTAGTTCGCAGGTATGTTTCATTTGTGTATCAGTTTAACCACAATTAGATACTAATAAGATAAATTCAGTGACATAAATTCTTGTACTTTTTTTAATTCCGTTAGTGACTCAATATATTGCAAGAAAGAACTACCTTACCCCTTTTTTGTGCAACATTTGGAGTGGTGGTAATAATTCACTTTGCCATTGACACTGGTAGAATCAAGTGTAGATATATTGGCTTTGTATGTTCATGATTTCAACATAAGTGAATAATGTCTTCCAAAATAAATGAAATTGATGGTATCATTATCTTTTTGGTCATCCAGGGAATTTTAGGATTTTAAGTTGGCATTCTCTGCATTATCTTCATTATATATGAACACGAAGAAAAAATTACCATAGGTTGTAGTTTCGAAAGTATGAATGGAAATAAACACTTCGAAACCACCCAGTGAATCCACATGTCGTTTAAAGCGCCTGTGGCCAGACCACGATGATTCCACCACACCCCATTAATATCTTTTATTTCCCATCATTCGCGTGACTATATGAAAAAACGAGTTTAATTTAACTACATATTTCAAAAACCTTAAATTACATGTGGATTAGTTACTCCTTATTTGACACACTTATAGTGTAATTCTTTGACCATCCCACCTGGGCACATGGAGGCCCACGGTAACTCTCACGGGGCAACATCCTTGTATTTGTTGAGAAGAGTTAAATATATATATATATATATATATATATATATATATATATATATATATATATATATATATATATATATATATATATATATATATATATATATATATATATATATATACTTCCCTCACCCTAGCAAACTAGTTAGCATAGCATAACCAGACAGCCTCGCAAGGACCAATAGGTCTGTATATAATGTATGTGCACCCGCTAAAATGACCTAGTATATTTTACTAATGTCTCATTGTCCATGGGTTTTCTTACAGTTTGACTGTGAGTTTTCTATTTTGTCTACCTGCCAATTCAACAGGACTGCTAACCATCCTCCCAGCAACTCATATGCCATCCCAGACCCACAGCCTACATGTATGGTGCAAGACCGCAGTCCAATACATACAAGTCAGGCAGTCAAGCGTTGGTTTAAGCGCACCCGCAGATTATTCTATTGGACTGGCCCCCTAAAGGAGCCGATTGTAATCCAATAGAAAATCTATGGGCGCATATGGTTGTTGAATGGGATGTTGAGGAGAAAACGAGTGAGGCAGTGAGGAGACACGCACATAATGTGTGGGAGGGAATAAGGAGGAGGCCGAACATCTGCAGCAATCTGGTAGATTCCATGCCCACCAGATTGCATGAAGTTATAGCAGCAGATGGAGGTTGGACACGGTATTAACCTGTGGTCAAGAATTAAATCTCCGCCCACGACGGTGCCTTGTAGGGTGTGGCGGGGGAGTTAGCTCTCTGGTGTAACCTCGTTGGGGCCACATAGACTTCGTTTTCTAACTCTCGGGAATTTGTCCAGGTATTTTACTATGTGGTTTTACGTCACTTCGCATAAATATGCTTACAAAATCTATGCATTAATATGCATAACTCTTGGGAATCTGTCCAGACATTAAATATATGTTATATACTACAATAATCACGTAGATATGTTTACAATGTTTATGCATAATAAATGTGAAAAATATTTTTGGGGTTTCAATTAACCAATAGTCATGCCTACAAAACAATCTTGATGCTCTAAGTGCATGAATGTGTTAAATAACGAATAACGGATCCACATTATTTTGGTAAATAAAGAAATGAAAAGCAAGCAGTTAGCTATATGGATATAGTTACACGGAAGAAGGGAAATAAGGATGAACCATGGTTTTGATGGAAACAATGTGCTCTGGGACGATGCTCACAATGACAAATGGGAGAAACCTCTTTATGAAACATCTTACCTACTAAGGATGAAGCTTAATGTTACAGAACACACACACACACACACAGTGTAACTTTGTGTGACGCGTTGTCTGACTTGGGGTGGCTTTGAGCGAACCATTCACTTGGTATTACAATTTATGTATCCTTCTTGTCCATGATTTGCAACAATAACTGTAGGGTAAAAGTTACAATATTATACTAATAACACTGTCATGTATTGATACTATGACTAGTTACCAAGATACAGAGCACGATGAACATAACATGATAATGATAGTGAAGCCTGGAAGGGTTCATATCATAACTTGTGTGTTCGTGAGCATGTTGCCCCGTGAGAGTTACCGTGGGCCTCCATGTGCCCAGGTGGGACGGTCAAAGTATTACACTATAAGTGTGTCAAATGAGGAGTGACTGATCCACATGTAATTTAAGGTTTTTGAAATATGTAGTTAAATTAAACACGATTTTTCATATAGTTATGCGAATGATGGGAAGCATCATGGTCTGGCACACACACACACACACACACACACACACGTTGTGTGGAGTCACTGGGTGGTTTGGAAGTGTTTATTCCCATTCATACTTTCGTAACTACAACCTATGGTATTTTTTCTTCGTGTTCCTATATAATGAAGATAATGCAGAGTATAAAATGCCATATACAATATTTATACATAATGTCATCTATACAACCGTACTATGATTGTGTGTGTTCATACGTGCGTTGCCTCGTGATAGTTAGAGTGGGCCCCCGTCCAGAAAGGACACTGTTCTAACCTCCAGTACTGACCCAGGTGGGCTAGAGATTATGGTTTTTGAGTGTTTATGACCTATATATGAAGGGCAGAAATCTTGTAAAACCATATGACTGGCCCCACTTATATGAAAAATATTGGCTTTATTGTATTTATTGACCCTAAAAACCTGAGTAGTAAGACACAAAGTAAGTCAGTAGCTCACATATTAAGCAAGCTATTGCCAATCACATTTGGGCGAAGCAGCCATTTTGAAAAATGGCCCCCACCGCTGTCCACACCTCAATTCGGTTGGGGTACAATCTTCAAATTGACCATTGTGGGTCATAGTAACTGTATATCAATTCTCATACTTGTATCAAAAAGTGCACGATTAACCCCAAAATGAGCCTTAAGCAAATGGGCTAACAGGCCCACAGTGGTGGGCGGGGAACCCTGAGCTACAAGTGGGTAGTTAAAGTGTTAAGCACATCGTGGTCCAGTGGCTACATTGCATGATTACTAACTGGGTGTCTCTGTATGTGTTCATGTGTGTCTTTACACAATGTGTGTGTCTGTATTTATGCGTTTCTGTACACGTTTCACAAATACTGCCACTATGGCATAACATAATTTTGATAATGTTTACAACAATATTAGCACCCACAATGTTTTAAAAGTCGAGTGAGTGTGTTGAAGGACTCATCTTTGCAACAGGTGAATGTGTTGAAGGACTCAGCCTTACGACAGGTGAGTGTGTTGAAGGACTCATCCTTGCAACAGGTGAATGTGTTGAAGGACTCATCCTTGCAACAGGTGAATGTGTTGAAGGACTCATCCTTGCAACAGGTGAGTGTGTTGAAGGACTCATCCTTACGACAGGTGAGTGTGTTGAAGGACTCAGCCTTACGACAGGTGAGTGTGTTGAAGGACTCAGCCTTACGACAGGTGAGTGTGTTGAACTCAGCCTTATGACAGGTGAGTGTGTTGAAGGACTCAGCCTTACGACAGGTGAGTGTGCCTTACGACAGGTGAGTGTGTTGAACTCAGCCTTACGACAGGTGAGTGTGTTGAAGGACTCAGCCTTACGACAGGTGAGTGTGTTGAAGGACTCATCCTTACGACAGGTGAGTGTGTTGGACTCAGCCTTACGACAGGTGAGTGTGTTGAACTCAGCCTTATGACAGGTGAGTGTGTTGAAGGACTCAGCCTTACGACAGGTGAGTGTGTTGAAGCACTCAGCTTTACGATAGGTGAGTGTGTTGAAGGACTTAGCTTACGGCAGGTGAGTGTGTTGAAGGATTCAGCCTTGCGACAGGTGAGTGTGTTGAAGAAATCAGCCTTGCGACAGGTGAGTGTGTTGAAGGACTCACCTCTACGACAGATTAGAAGGGTAGGGTCAATTGTCGTCCAGTTACCATCGTCTTCACAGGTAACAGTAATGGCCACACTTCGGTCGCTAAACTTCATCCCATCCGTACATGTTAAGTTCACCTGTGGAAATGATCTTGTGTGTGAGAGAGAGAGAGAGAGAGAGAGATAATACTGAGTCAAATAACGATATAAAACGCCATGAATTAATAATCTGTAAAGGAAGGAACAAAATAAACAAAGGAAACGTAAACATAATAACGATAACAAGAATAACCCTCAAAAAAATATTTATGACCACTGACTGACCAATAGCCAAGTTAAACATCACTTGAGGATTAAACACCCGAAATGTCAAGTCCCACGTGCGTTAAATACAGCATCAGTCAGGTCAGGAAGGACTGGCGCTAAGTTACCTCAGTGCCAACGTTACTGGTGATGTTGTTCCAGTCACTAATGGCGCCCTCGGGTGCTGGCGGCGGCGGCTTCAGGCACACTAAAAAAAAAATACAAAATAAGTATGTCGAGTAATAAGAATTAAGAACGTAGTGCATGTGTCGGAACCTTCCTTACTTCCGCTGTTTATCCGAATTTTGCTCCTATTGGTCGAGGCTAACGACGTCAGATCATCTCAACTGAATACTTCATAAATGAGAATTTTTCATCAACAACCATTTTTGTTCACCCTTTTTATACGGGGAGAAAATGGTTGTCATAGTTAACATGGTCATCCACAGCGCCTTGGGTACAACACAGTATTTACAGTATATGACCTTAGTTTAAGCTGAGGGCTCCATGGATAATCTACACCATTATGACATAAAATGAAAATCAAAATTTATAATGTGTATTTTAAGTGCTTTATTATAGGACCATTATAATTATATTAACTTCATTACGCGTAGTGCGCGTAAGTGATGCTTTCAGACCCTTTGAGGAAGTCAAGTGTGCAAAGGAAAAGTTTAAACGATCTCTATTTTAAAGATACCAGATCAATGGCTGTGGCAGGGAAGAGTATAAAGTGACAACCAAGACCTAGATGTGCAGTAGTACAGTACACTACACGTGCGTCAAGGGAGACAAGGGATATCAGTTAAATTGCCAGATCGATAAGAACCGACAATAAAATCCTAGAATCAAGATGGCTACCGATAATTTTCACATGTCTTGGGGTTTAGTAAACATTGTTTTCATTCGGCGCATCCAGGATGTTCCCTAAGTACCAGATACTGTTACGTTATATAGTGTGTCGTCGTGAGCCTTGTTAACCTAATCTAACACAACATACCTAACTTAAAACACTACAGTATCTTCTATTTTGTTAAACAAAGAGAAGATAAATGTGCTGTCGGCAAAATATTTTGGTTGGATCACTGCAGACCAGCAGTTACGTGTGAGCCTTTGAATGTTGGGAAGAAAGATTACGTGGAAATCATATAATAATGTTGAGATGAAGCTCAACTTTAGGTTAGGTTAGGTTAGTACATTTTAAGAACGATAAATTATACAATGTAACAATATCCGGTAATTCTGGAACATTCCAGTTGGAATAATGCCATCAGACTCGACCATTCAGAACGAATGGCAGACAATGACTTCCACCAATCAGAACGAAAGCCTGAAAACAGCGAAAGTAAGTAAGGATATGTAACCAGACAAATATACACTGCCCATTAATAATAAACATAAAGCATTATTGACAAGGATATAAACAATAATGATGATAGTAGTAATTATTATAACATACAGACAGACAGAAAGGCACAAAAAGAAAGGCAGACAGTGACAGAAAATTTGACAGACGGACAGACATAAGTGGAGAGACTGACACAGAGAGACAGATAAGTAGATAGACAGACACAACCTGTCAATCAGCCAGACGTACAGAAGAAAGAAAAACAGACAGACGGATAGACGACAAACGGACGGACTTACGTTTACCACAGGTAAGGTTTGTGACGCTGGAGGCCCAGGTCAGGTTACTCTGGCAGGTGACGGTGGCCTCGCTCACTGGTGTGGGCTGGTCCTGGGGGGACATGAGTGTCTTAGGCTCCACTTACTGTTGTAATAATAATAATAATAATAATAATAATAATAATAATAATAATAATAATCTATATCTAAAACAAAGAAGTATGTGTGTTTGTGTGTCCGCACGAGAATCTCGGAAACTACTTAACCGATCTGTAGTGATGATGATGGATGGTGTTATATGTAGTGATGATGGATGATGTTATATGTAGTGATGATGGATGGTGTTATATGTAGTGATGATGTTATATGTAGTGATAATGGATGGTGTTATATGTAGTGATGATATTATATGTAGTGATGATGGATGGTGTTATATGTAGTGATGATGATGGATGGTGTTATATGTAGTGATGATGTTATATGTAGTGATGATGGATGGTGTTATATGTAGTGATGATGGATGATGTTATATGTAGTGATGAAGGGTGGTATTATATGTAGTGATGATGGATGATGTTATATGTAGTGATGATGGGTGGTGTTATATGTAATGATGTTGGATGATGTTATATGTAGTGATGATGGGTGGTGTTATATGTAGTGATGATTAGACAACAAAATAATAACAGTTTGATGCTAAAAAAATCTTTACATACTTGCTGCTAATGGCAAAACCAAAAATGTGGTCTACCCTAATGCACTACAGTGAGACAATGTGGAGCCTCCCGGAGGCTGGCGTCCTACCCTAGCATTACAATGGTCTTTGCTGGAGACTTTCGCCAGACCCTACCTGTCATTTCTCGAAGCACTCCAGTTGATGAACTGAATGCGTGCCTCAAGGCATCATACCTTTGGAGAAGTGTTCAGACATTCACTCTACCCACAAACATGAGAGTACATCTACAAGGAGATCCCGATGCTGGACGGTTTACAAACCTTCTACTATAGATTGGGAATGGAACTTTCCCTGTTGATTCAGATGGACAAATAATCAGTCCTCAAGGATGTGGAAATGTTGTAAAGTCCTCAGCTGAGTTCACTAACATGGTCTCCCCAAACATTATCCACCACTACAAGGATCACAAGTGGCTGCGTGAACGTGCAATTCTGGCACCAAAGAATGAAACGATGGCTGAAATCAACATGACTCTACTCAGACAGCTTCCAGGCAGTGAGACCTCATTCAAGTCTGTTGATACAGTAATCGACCAGGATCAAGCAGTCCAGTACCCTGCAGAATTCTTTAATTCTTTGGAGCCTACTGGAATGCCTCCTCACCTCCTCACTCTCAAGATTGGAACTCCTATAATGCTTTTAAGAAATCTTGAACCACCAATCCTCTGCAATGGCACAAGACTGGTGGTGAAGAACATGATACCACATGTACTGGAAGCTACAATACTGGCAGGAAAAGCTAAAGGAGAGGACGTGTTTATACCAAGGATACCTATTATCACCACTGACCTGCCATTTGAGTTGAAGCGACTTCAGTTCCCGGTTAAAGTGAGCTTTGCCATGTCCATCTACAAAAGCCAAAGACAGAGTCTAAAGATGGTTGGCCTAAACCTGGTGTTTCCTTGCTTCTCTCATGGACAGTTCTATGTTGGATGCTCCAGAGTGGGAACTGGCAAAAGTCTGTACATTCTTGCTCCTAATAGCAAAATAAAAAATGTGGTCTACCCTATTGCACTACAGTGAGACGATGTGGAGCCTCCCGGAGGGTGGCGTCCTACCGTGGCCTAGCGAAAGAGCCGCCCAGAGGGCGGCGTTTCTGCTAGTAATAATAATAATAATAATAATAACAATAATCAATCATGATGATGAGGATGATGATGTATAGGTTTCCGACATCCGTTAACAATTTAATGAACTATCCGCTCATTTATCCAATAAGAACAGCGCAAGTATCCTTCAGCTAATAAGAACAGTACAAGAAATTTTCAGCCAACAAGAAATGCGTAACAAACCTTCAGCCAATAAAAACAATGAGTTTTAGGGAAAAAACGTTCCCGTGGCCTTCGATGATAACGAGACTGAAACAAGAACAAAAGCTCAACTACTTGTCTCACTAATCACTTCACTATTCTGGGCCAATACAACAAACCACTGTTATTGACTAAATTTTCCCGCCTGGTTAAAAATTCGTCAATTCAGACGTGTTAGTGTGACTTGCTTCCTCTCGCTTTCAGCTACCTCCGCTGGCTAGCCCTCGTGCCGAACAGGGAAGCATCTTACATTAGTTTTCCCCTGCCAGTAAACAGCCTCTTTACCATCAAGACTCCTGCTGTGCCTCCTCGTGGCAACACACGGTAACTGGGTGCCTCGTGGGCCCAGGCTAGATCAGCAGGGGATCTCGGAGTAGCAGTGGGCCCCAGAGAGACGGCGCATTGGCCCACTGGCATGTGGACACGTCCTGGCACCTGCCAACCATTGTCCCACCGCCTTGCGGATTGACCTTGGAAGGTATAAGGCTACGGGAGTAAACCCTGAACGAAAAATCCGCAGTGGAGCCCCGCATCAGGCACACATGCTTACAAAGCTCTAATAAGACCCGAACGGCGGAAGAGGTGACCACCATGGGAACCCAACGACTACCACTCAGCGGACGAAGGCAATGCATGATGGACAGGCTACTAAGGCGAAACCAAACAAACTGGGCTATTGGCAGTCCATTGCAACTCTCCCTCTCCCCAGTTATTGCAACACTTGCACCACTGGATCAGGAAAAGGGAGAGCCAAAATGTGTGGTTGCAGCCTTACTCCTTCCTCACTACATAAATCAACTCGCACGCAGCCGTCATCCAGCTCATCATAGCTCTCGTCAATATTAAAACTTTTATACCCCCAAAAGTTTCATGGCGACTGACGAGTAGCGAAGGGGACAGGCAGAGATAACTGACGGGAGTCTATAGTCACAACTCTGCACATGGGCGGCACAGATATAATGGTCGTTTATGCACTGGGATCTAGGCAGCAGTGCAATCAGAACCTGTCTGTGCAACTGAGCAGCCCTTTCGAGGAGCCACTCTGCTCACACCACATAAGGAGGGGGCTATGAAAGGTGCCCTAAACTGTACCTAATAAAGTAATCCTTATGCGGTCAAAAAGATAATCATAATCACAGACCCAAACAAAAACAAACTATTCAACTACTTATGTCACTGCACGGAATGTCAGGACCCTTCTGGATACTGGCACAAATGAGCGTAATAAAAGAAGAACCGCCCTTGTGGCAAAAGAGCTGGCTAGGTTTAGCGTCGACATAGCCGCCATTCGTGAGTCCCGGCTCCCAGACGAGGTTCAACTCACAGAACGGGGGTCTGGCTATACCTTCTTCTAGAAAGGTAATCCTGCTGCGGAGAGAAACTTCATTTATGGAGTTGGCTTTGCCACCCGCCAATGCATCCTACAAAGGCCAACTGGAATGCATATTGGGATCAACGAGCGCCTCATGACGCTCCGAGTTCCACTGAATCACTCAAGTCATGCCTTTCTCATCAGTGCATACGCCCCAACACTGGATGCAGAGGATGATATCAATGAGCCCTTTTATGCCGTTCTCGACAGAGTGCTGACCTCTGTCCCCAGAGAAGATAAGGTTGTGCTCCCAGGTGACTTCATTGCCAGAGTTGGCAAAGATGCTGACGTTTGGCAGGGAACCATAGGGAGAAATGGACTAGGCAAGTGTAATCCCAAAGCCTACTCCTCACCAAGTGTGCTGCACACAACCTCACTATCACCAATACCTTGTTTAGGCAGGCCGACAAGTTCAAGGGTTCGTGGCAACACCCACGAACCAAACACTGGCATCTCATTGATTACATCAATGTCAGAGAAAGAGATCGCCAAGATGTTCTCATCACCCTAGCCATGCATGGCTCAGACCACTGTGACACTGATCATCGACTCGTCAGAGCCAAGCTATCACTTCACGTCGCCCCAAAACTGCTAAGGCAGCAAGCTTCCAGAAGAGGTTTCAACACTTAAGCATCTGGAGGATCCAGCGGTAGCATATGCTTTCAGAGAGCAGCTCGAACATGGGCTGATAAGCAAGCCGAAAATAAACAACCCAAATCCCAGTGCCGAATGTTACATTCTCGACACTGTCATGACAAAAACTTGCAGAGAGACTCTCTGCCAGATCGAAAGAATACACCAGGACTGGTTTGATAAAAATGACCCGGCAATCAAGTAAAACATAGCAAATTGCAGATCAGCACAAGGTGCACGAATTTTTCAATTCCACTAAAGCATTTTACGGGCCAATAACTCGTGACACAGCCCCCCTCCGCTCATCCGACAGTAACTCCCTAATTAAAGACGACTAACGCATCCTTCAACGCTGGAAAGAGTACGACCATTCACTGCTCATCTGAAACACCGATGTGGATGTCCTGACTACCCAGCAGATCCCTCAGCATACAGAGCTGACCCACCTCAGCTATCCTCCATCCCTGGATGAGGTAGCTCCTGCCATCAAACAAATGAAAAATAACAAAGCCGCAGGGGCCTGATGGAATCCCAGCCGAGGTGTATGAAGCAGGAGGATCTCTACTTACGAGCCACCTGGAGAATCTATGGGAAAAGGAGGAAATTCCCCACGCTCTTTTAGACGTCTCCATCGTTAATATTTTTAAGAACAAAAGAGACCGGTCAGACTGTGGCAACTACTGCCGGATCTCGCTGTTCTCTTTAGCTGGCAATATTATCGCCCGAGTCCTCCGAAACAGACTTTTTCCTGAGGCGGAAAACTTCCTCCCAGAATCCCAATGAGGGTTTAGACCAACACGTGGCACCACTGACATGATCTTTGCTGCCCGCCAGATACAGGAAAAATGCGCGGCTTTCATCGAGCTAACCAAGGCCATCAACTCGGTCAACAGAGAAGCCCTCTGCTGGACCCTCAGCCATTTTGACTGCCCACCAAAATTCATCGCCATTGTGAACCAACTCCACGATGGCACACAGTTCTTCCCCATCCAAACGGGGGTTAAACAAGGGTGTGTACTGGGACCAGCTCTCTTTTCCATTTTCTTGGCTGCCTTCCTTCCT